TAGGTAGGGTCTAGAAGGGGAGCTTGCCATGTACAAAATACTGGGAGATCATTTCTAACTTAGATTGAAAAATTGCATATATATGCTTCTTGTATGAAACATTTTTTAGCTGATGTTGATAAAATAATAATAAGGATGTACATGTTGTTATTTTTTCTTTCTGATAAACCTGACAGGGAGTTGTTTTGTTCTTAGTGCTGTTCTGCAGGAAGATCCATATTCCAGGATGAAAAGTGTGGTCAAGTGGTATGTCTCTGGATTTTATAAAAAACCAAAGGTAAAAAACACAAAGCATTATATAACCTGTATGTATAGCAGTGTATGAAATGGCCGCCAGCCCGCCAGCCCGAGGCTGGTAATTTTCAGGCCGGGCGGGTAAGATTTGCAAATTACCCGCCCGATGGGCTGGCTATTTTTACAGCCTATTTTCACCTTTTATTTTGTCTATGTTCACAAGCGATATCAGCAAAATATCAAATAAACTCACTGTTTTCACCCACTTTCATAGAAGCAAAGAACTAACTAACCATAGCTTGCAATCGAACGCTCGTATCGAAATGTAACCAACAGTCTCCCTCTCAGTGGCCTCGTTTTCGAAGTTCCGTCTGTGTGATATGAAGTTGAAAGACAATTTGAAACGAGGCACATTGTTCTTAACCAGCTTCAGTGAGCTTCAGTGCGCAGATAACGTTACGTCATTGTTTTGTGTAGAGGAGATACCGCGAGTAGCAATTTGTAGGTTGAGAGTAATAAAAATGTGAAAGTATAAAAAGTTATGATATTGTTTAAATAGACTTATAGGTACATGAAGTGCTTATAATCAACAGTAATACAGGCAACGGAGGCAAATTAAAGGAGAATTTTACAAAAAAATTGAATCCCAAAATTATGAGTGAACGTACGAGTTTACGCCGTGCGTCAGATGTAGTTCTTTTCCCACTTGCTTTCATCTGTGGCTGACAAAAATGAAAAAAAATCTATCAAGTCCGATGGGGAAGTTCACAAAGGAAAAACAATTGAGGAAAGAAATAAAAATAAGAAAGATTACGACAGACCCAAACGAAAGAAAACAAATTGGGACCCATGGAAAGGTGACTTCGATTTGCAATGAGTCGAGCGGCAACATTTTTTGTAAAACCGTAACTCGAAATTATCACGCATTGTGACCGAGCGCAAGCATCTCGATCCAGTAACTCGCCCATACTCGCCCCATATAATATATTGTAGCCTCTATGTGATATTGCTATTCTCAATAAGCGATGCTTTCAAGATACGGGCCCTGCAGGACTGTCTATTGGCCATTATCGTGCAAGACCGTTCCCGACCGCTTTTTTAAGCTTAAAAGCGATATTCAAAGGGACCCTACGTGCTGAATTCTTTCTTCTATATTGTTAGCACAGAAATCAATTTATTTGACAAGAATATATATATTTGGTCATACTTGTTCCTATACAGAAAAGCAAAAATTATTATCAAATGATATCACGAAATACTATTACAGTAGGTATAAAAGTTATGAATAAATTATTGAAGAAGAAATGAGACAGCCTGCAAGGTGAACATAAACTGAATTGACTACGGTACCCCCCTCCCCCGCCCGCTAAAGGGCCCTGAAAACTTTTGGTATTTTAGATGGTGAATGGTGCCATTTGGTATAGTTTAGAACTATGATTCAACTAGTGAAAAGTCTTATTTCAAGAGGGAAGGTTTTTTTTTTTTTGCAGAAATTGAAAGGGGGGTGTCAGAACCCCCCTGACCCCCTCTAAATCCAACACTGACAAGGTATCATTCAGTAGAAATTCAAACCAATTTCTAAATTTCCACGCATAAGGCATGATATTACCCTTTAATTTCCAAATAGATTCTTTTCCACGGTCACGTGACTTCCGCTAAATTATCCGTGGGAACGCGAGATTTTGCGGGATTTGAAGTTTCAGGGGGAAAGTGTGGAGTGTACACGGCGGACGCCATAACGAGGAGTGCTCATTTCAATCTGAATTTTCAAAGTTTCGTAACATGTTAACACCTGATTTTTTTCGAAAACACATTCACGGGAGCAGTTGGAATAGAAATTTAGCAGAAGTACCTGATGACTTTTCAATGAAAGAACTAAAAACGTACCTCATCGACAGCAAAGATAGGACATTCACCCCTTCGGTACTTTTGTCGTATACCCCCCCCCCACCCTGTAACTTTCTGTAACTTTCACTTTTCAAACAGTTTTTTACATTTTATTGTTTTTCTATGTCAAAGCTGTTGAAATAAAATGCTTTTGTAATTACCTGTGGACTTTTTATTAGTGTTAATCACGTTTAATCCAGCCCATTGAAATACAAAGTTAGAATCTTCAATTTACACCCGCAGTCAATAACTTGCCGCATTTTCGTTGGCTAACTCTAAGGTAATTTTATGTGAACAAGTAGCTCATAATAATTTCACAGAGGAAATCCAAGTATACAATGTATCAATCCTACATTGTAAATTTTCACATTGTATTTCAATGGGGTGGATTAAACGTGATTAAAACTAATAAAAAGGCCACAGGTAATTACAAAAACATTTTATTTCAACAGCTTTGACATAGGTGCAAAAGACACTGTAAAAAATGTTTGAAAAATGAAGGTTTCAGGAAGTTACAGGGTGGGGGGTATACATCCCCTTCTACTCTTTCCCCCTGAGAAACAGTCCCGCACAAAATGGCGCGAACTGCGCATGCTCACGATTTCGTGGAAAAGACTCTATTACTCTCCCAAGAATGCATTCTAGACCCCCTCAGCATACCTTTCTTAACTCTAGGGGTTATCATAACTAGGGCAGGTAACTACATGGCCGAGCTGGTAACTTTTCAGAGTTACCTGCCCGGCGGTCTGGCTAGTAATTTTCTTGAATTTCATACACTGTGTATAGTCCCCTAAATCACATAAGTGTTGGATGTCTTTACAACAGCAAATGACATGGTGTTCAATTTCATTGTGCATTATTATCCAGTACATCTTTTTTTTCTAACTTTGAATAAAAGGTAAATAATTTTGGAATGTGAAAGGTAATTACAAGTGGGAAAGGTCTTTCTAGATTTTTGGAGCAATAGGCATGCATTTGTTTTTTCAGGGTGCTAAGAAGCCATATAATCCCATCTTAGGGGAGACCTTCAGATGCTGCTGGAAACATCCTAAAACTGACAGTAGGACATTTTATATTGCTGAACAGGTAACAAAACAATCACAGCATGCAAAAAATCAAAGTTATGGTGTGAAGATTTTATTTTTGTGAAATGATCCTGATAATTAACCAAGCAGATAATTTTACATCTTCCAGCAGTTGTTACCTTTTCTTAGATGACCTGGCCACTTTCCTCAAAGGGCTGGTTCCTTCAGTGTTTGACCAAAAGCTATTATATTTAGAGAGATCTTTTTGTACAATTAATTGTAGATCTCCCACCATCCTCCAATGACTGGGTTCTGTGTGATTAACAGGAAAGATGGTTTCAGCATCAATGGTTGTGTCCTGGCTAAATCAAAATTTTATGGTGAGTGGGAAAATGGAACCAAAGGAAATTAGTAAATACGTGATCACTACATTTGATAACATTTGTGGCATTTTTTTTTTCTTCTTTTTAGGACAAGCGTTTTTTTCCCCGTCATGCAAACTTTTGAATATTTGAAGTGGTACTGCCAAATAATGATATATTGGACATTCATTCTGAAATTTTAAAGGATGGTTTTTATTCAGGTTTGAAATAATGCCCAAATTTGAGAAGTCTTTATAATGTATTATCCAGGGAATTCCCTCTCAGCTATAATGGATGGAGGTGGTAGGCTGACATTTCTGAAGCGTGGTGAAGATTACTTGATCACTATGCCTTATGCTCATTGCAAAGGTAAGTTTTATATGCATGCTGTGAAACTGCACCATAGTCCACCATATGTTGCGTGCAGAGAGCAATTTTAAAGCCAAATAAAACTTTGATAGCAAGACTTTAAAATGACGATTTAAATAATATTTTCCTTGCATGAAACTATTGTGATGTTATTGATAAACATACATTGCCATATTAGAAGGTAGAAACTGTAGGTAAATATAAACGTTTTAATACTCATCATGTAGTTATCTATAACCTTTTGACAATCTTTAAGGAGTCTTAATAGGAACACTTACAATGGAGCTTGGTGGAAAGGTGCGCATTGAATGTGAGAAAACGGGATACAAGACTGAGTTGGAGTTCAAACTCAAGGTATCTTTTTTGTTAAGCAAGCCAGTGTATGGGAAGATAAAACCAGTCACAAGTTTTGTTTGCCTTGTTGAAATGTCCCAAAGGCTGCTCAGCAGAGTGTGCATCACTGTTTACAGTCAGACTTACATATATGTCACAGGCAAGATTGAAATTCAGGCAAATTGAAGTATTGAAGTGACAGACAATTTTGAATTATAACTAGTTTAATCACATCCCTAATAAAGCCATTTTGGTCATAGAATTTGTGGTTTAGAACATCTTACATTAAATGTATTGCATGTGAGAACTACAAAACATTTATTTCTATTTTTGCCTCAAATAAGGGCTCTTTTGGCTGCATATGTCAGGTCTATAGGTACTTTGACAAACATTTTGAGAAATCCATGCTTCTTACATGGCACTTTGAGAGAAGCAATTAAATGAAATAGTTGGGGTCATATATATTACATGTAATAAGACATCAGATCAGTTAGGTGTGGAAAAGTCAGGTACTACAGGTAAAGAAAAACGCCTGTGATTGTAGCTATTAAAAATAACTGATCAGTTAGGTGAGGGGAAATTTAGGTAAAACAGATAAAAGAAAGTGGTTGTGATCTCAAGCATCAATAAAATAACTGTGATGACATTTCAGATGTGGTAAACTCAGATAAAACTGTTTAGGAAAAATGCTTGTGTGTATTTATTTATTAATTTAAGTATCACCTCAGGATGACATAAATGAAAAACACAAACATAGCATCTAACACATAAAAAAAAATCATTCTAAAATATGGTCAGGTTTAAATATAACATAATGATTAAAAAATTTTGATAATTAGGATAACGGATAATTTAGTGATATTGAATAAGAAACAAAGAATTTTCAACTTCTTGATTATAAGATGACACATCTAACTATAAGCCCTTTGTTTTCCTTGCTAATTGCTTCTTATTGGGTCAACAAATGACTGTTTTATAGTATAAAAATGAAATTGAACTAAAATGTTTGTCAAAGTACACTTGGGACTGATATGCAGCCATGTGGGGCAATAAAAAAATGAAAAGTGTTTGTAATCCCTTGTATGCAAGATAGTAAATAAAAGATGCTCTTAACCATATATTGTCTAACTAAAATGACTTTAGTAGCAAAGTGATTAATATATTTATAATTTTAAAATGTCTGTGACTTGGGATCTAGCCTAGGCTGATTTTAAATCCACTTAAGCAAGATTCAAATTTCAATCTCGCCTAGGCAAGATTGTGATTTCAATATCCCCTACATGGATTTCAATCTTGTCTGTGACATATATACTGGCTATTAACCTTATTGTTTGTTCTTTATCTTAGTAATACCGGTACATGACAGTAGTTAAAAATTTCCTTTTCTATTACAGCCTTTCTTGGGCAGCCCAGAACAGTGCAATAGGATTATAGGCAAAATCAGATTTGGAGAAGAAACCCTTGCAACAGTGCATGGACACTGGGATCAAGAAATATACATTACTGACAAAAGCACTGGGGTGAGACATAAAGCAGTATTAATATTGAATTATTTGTATGTTGGTTAATTCATGAAGAGTTGTTTTCAGCAAATGAAATGGTAATCTACATTGGATGTACTCATAATTTTCAGTTCATCCAAGTCTGTATTTCATTGCAAGATTAAATGAAGTACACGTTTTTCTATTTGAAATAAAGAAATACATATTTTTACACATAACAGGAGACAGAAGTGTTCTGGGGTGTTACTTCAGATGTCAGAGCAGGGAGATTAAAGAGGTTTACTGTGCCTCTTGAGCATCAGGAAGAGTTTGAATCTGTTAGGTAAGAGTCTCCCCACTAGCACATACCAATAGCATAAAAGGGTGGTCAGGAAAAAAGTGTAATTGTATGAGAATCTCCTGTAGCATCCTTTTTTTTTTCATTCACTCATACTGGCGACATATGAGAAAAGGTTATTTTTGATAAACTTGCTTTTTTACAAATTAAAGAAATATCTTTTAGTTTCCAAGATTGTCTACAGTATGTGACTGCAGTAGTAAAATGATGTTTTTCAGGCTGTGGCAGCATGTGACAGCTGCATTATTAAGATCAGACCAAGAAATGGCCACCCATGAGAAATTTATCCTGGAAGATGCCCAACGAAAAGCAGCCAAGGAGAGAAAAGCCCTCAGTGTAGAATGGGTGCCGAGGTTGTTTGAAAGAGATCCACTGACAAATGATTGGGTGTACAAGTATCTAGAGTAAGTAATGCTGTGAGTGAAATGTAAAATTTTGAAAGATTTTGTGCATTGCACTGCAGTTTCACGTATTTTACAGTGTGAAATAATTACATAAAAATCACTTTTTTTTTCAAATCATTTTAAGAATATGTCAGAAATATTGTGGTGGGAGAAGCACTAAACTATGACTGCGGATTAAAGCAGTATGTGAGCAAGTCCATTAAACTTTGAAAAAAAATTTAGTTCCAGGCCCTGGGACCCAATAAACGATGTGATTCAGTATGAAAAAGACTACATGGTCATGACCAAAACCAGGCGAAAAGTTCCAATTGTACGTACAACCAGCATTCTCAGTGTGAACAACAAGCCTGATAAAAACAGCAGAAGGCAAAAAGCTGTAGAACACTCAAGGGCAGTGGCCCGCATTAAAAGGAATGCTCACATGAGGGAATGCAGGGAAAGCGGAAGTTCAACACCAGATCCTGAACATAGAATTGATGAGTCCACATCAGAAAGTGAAGGTACATGTAGGTTACATAATTTGGGTTTTCCTACCTGTTGTAAGTAGACAGCGATAAGCTACCATATTAAAGGTTTATGGATAGAACAAACTTAAGTTTTCAAAGTTTAGGGAAGCAGCACTCAATCTATATGCTACAGAAATGTCTTAATTAATAACCACCCTATGAAAACAATTGATTAGTAGAAAAAAGATCATTTTAAAACACCCACCTCAATATGCAAATATGAAGCAGCATACCAAGTTCATCCACACAAGCCACAGGGGAGAGGGCCAGCATGTAAAGCTATCAAACTGTCATTATCTACCTGTAAGATGAGTTTCCAAACTCCTGAAAACAGCCCACACCCATTTACTTTTCCTAATTGAGGGGTTTAAACCCTTGTGAAGCCAAGTGAAGCAGTTTCCTGTCTATGCAATTCTTTAACTAGCATTATATTACAACTATCTCCACTAGCATAAACTTAGCATTTAATTTTGGCTATCTCTCTACTAGTATAAATAGAGATTCTCAATATATACATTATTATTATTATAATCAAGTTTGCAACCTGAGGGTTGGACACATACATTCTTTGCATCATAGTTGAATAAAATTACTAATGAAAAAAAAAAGAATGTTAAAAGAAATATCTTAACAAATTAAAAATAACTAAAATGCAAGATGAAATACATGTATAATATCAGTCAATTATGGAACTTCAATTATCGCACAGGTTAAAAAGTCACTCATTGATCATTTGGTTTAAATTTTTGGCCTTTTTAATGTCTCTGGTTCCCTTAATGAATATTAGACATTTTGATTTTTGGTTGTAAAAGATAATGCAATCTATGATCTGGTTCATTTGATATCCCTATAAACAATTTTTTGCATGCATTAAGCCATCTTTCAGTAGTTCAAGTTTACTATGTTCACAAGCAGCATCATATTCAAGATCAGGATAAATTATTTTAAGAGCTATTTCTTTAGACTAGACTCTACTTAGGCAGTCAATTCATTTCTTCACCCGAAGTGCCAGACAGGGGCAGCATTTTTTAAAACTGGCCAAATGACCATCTGGTAATAAGTTACAAGGTCATCAGCTGTGAGGCCTGCACGATTCAGGTGTTGTAAAAAATAAATCCTTTTGCTTGCTTGTTTTTTTTTTTTTTTTTTTTTTTTTTTTTTTTTTTTTTTTTTTTTTTTTTGTAACGCGGCAAAACGGAATTCTCTTGGAAAATAATTTGCAAAACCTTCATAACCTGGCATTGTGAAAATATACTTGACGTTGAGGACAACATTTATCTTTAATATGTGTTTTTATGTTAGGGCGTATTCCCAGAGCTTTTAGATCAATCTATCCCCATGGGGAGTCTCACTAGATTACTGTCAGAGAATCCGGTTTAAATGTCTGTCCTGCCTACTACAAGCTGTAAGGGGGTAATTAACTTCCGTGCCCGCTCGGCTGACAGCTATTTAGCGTGAACCCCCATGGAGTTAGGTCGATCTAAAGTAGATCGATCTAATCTCTGGGAATGGGGTCTTAATGTTAAAACATTAGAAACATCTAAACATTAAACAAATGAGTTGTTATTCTAAGAACTTTTGTTAATCATACCATCATTACGGATATAAAATTGTGCATTCTACCAAAGCACCTTTGGTAAAATGATTGCTTGATTACACAAAAAAATCTGTGACCTTGAAATTAACCTTTGGCGTACTTTTCATCAGGAACTGAACTTTGTTAATTTTCCTTCCCCTATATCTCCATAACTGGCAGAGATGCGCCCATAGTTACTGTAAAACTCGAATAGAAAATCATATAATATAGAAAATAATTTATTCAGTTTTTCAAGGCCTCCGGCCCATAGTACATAATAGTAATAATAGTAATAGTTAAGTCCACTAGAAGTATTAAGGATTATTCATTTTTGTCAGTGATCCAAAATATCCAGTTTGCTGCTCCTACATATGTCACTGTGCCATATTTGGCCAGCATTATCTACTAATCTTTCTCTGAAAACTTTAATAAATAAAACAGAATTTCCCACACCCTGAGCCTCCAAATCCATATCTGTATAACAGCTTTTTAACATCTGTGGCCCATTGTGTGCCTTCCACTTGAATCTAATTTAAATAGCATATCATATACATGAGCAGGATAGTGATCTTCATTCATAATATGTACAAGCTTTAACCAATATTTAATGCTATTTACCATATAATTGGTATACAATGGATACCTTCCTCATTCGCCTAGTACAGCTTCCGTCACAGTATTTGAACTAACACCTAATAAATATCTACAAAATTTTGCTTGGAAGATTTCAATACTTTCTACTGGTTTATAACCCCACATCTCAGCACCATAGAAAAAAATGGGTGTTATCATTCTATCAAAAAGAAAGAAAGCTTCCTTAAAGGAAATACATGTTTGTTTCTTCAAATATAACTTAACAACAAATAATACTTTATTGGCTTGGTTGATTTGATGTTAGATAGTTTTTCCCCAACTGAGGAAGGCACCAAAATATGTTCCTAAGTAATTATATGCAGGTACCGCTTCTAATTTTTTGCCCTTGAAAAACCACCTTTCATTATTCTTTATTTTACTGCCTCTCCTAAATACTACTATTTTTATTTTATGGACATTTACTAGCATACCATACTGGCTGCAATATTTTTCTAATTGATGAATTTGTTTCTGTAACCCCCCAACAGTGTCTGAAATGCATACAATGTCATCAGCATAAAGCAAAGACATAAGATTTGGAAACACCTCATTTATGTAAATACCCTGATATCCAGCCTTGTTCAAACTATGATAAAATTCATTTATGAATAATGTAAATAGAAAAGGACTTAACATGCATCCTTGTCGAGTGCCCATGTTACATTTAAAATACTCAGCCAGGCCTAAATTTGTCAGAACACATGATTGCAGTTGGGAATACATAGAGCATAAAAATGTGACGGCATGTCCATTTACACGTTTTTTTGCAAGTACATACCATAATAATTTGTGATGAACACTATCGAAAGCAGTTGAGAAATCTATAAAAATACAGTAGCATCTGCCTTTTCTTCGACTTAAGTATTTTTTGTACGCAACCCAGCAATGTAAAAATGTGATCGACAGTGGAGAAACCAATTTTATAGGCGGCCTGAGCTTCAATCGTTGTATTATTTTCCACTGCCCAATTATTAAATCTGTTACTCATAATTTTCATAAATATTTTTCCCATGACACTCAAAAGCGCAATTCCTCTATAATTTGATGCCACATTTACATTTCCTTTTTTGAGCAATTAAAATCAGATACTGGCAATCTGTGACCTTGAAATTGACCTTTGATTTACTTTCCACCATGAACTGAACTTTGCAAATTTTCTGCCCCTTATAACTCCCTTTTCCCCATGAACTGCACTTCACAAATTTGGATTTAACCTTTTACTTTTCCCCATGGTTTTGTTATAAATTGTTATTTTCAACAAGAAAATTGAGAACTCTTGTTTACTGCATTTTGTAGAGCTTGTCAAGCACAACACTACTGGAGGTGATTCTTTAATTTTTTTTTGTTTTCCACACGGGTGCCCTTACCCCAGCTGGTGGTACAATACCCGAAGGTGGTATCGTCTATCAGATCCTCTAGTTTATACTTATTTAATGCTGGTAAAAGAATTAATTCATCTCAAGTAAGAAAAGTGAATGGATATGGGATCTTACAGGTAGATAATGACAACTCAAGTTTTATTTTACAAGGTGGCTCTTCACCCAGTGGCTTGTATGTTGTCAGCCAACCACATTACCTCGTAGCTCAACCCCCAGCATTTGTAAGGCTGGATATTTACAAAATTAACTTCCAGAAATCATTAGTTGGGCACATTTGCTTAAGGGTGTGCTCTGTTCAAGCCATGGTCTGTCCAAAACCCTTTGAATATATACAGTAGTAGTTTTACCATTCAGATTTGTCCACTGGAACATTTTTAACCTTTTTAAGTTTCATTTTTTTACCTACAAAAATTAACAAGTGAAGATGTTTGTTTCTATTTAGTGGAGGCCAAAGGGAAAAGTAACCAATCAGTGGACCCAGAGATGCTTAAACAGCTTCTGAACCCATTGCAAGAGATGCAGCGTCAGAACAATCAGGCATTGGCTAATCTTCATGGGCACCTGCAGCAGGTGGAGAGAGCATATTTAGATGGCTATGGTGGAGTCTATCTTCAAAGCAGAGACTGGGTCATTCTGGGTGCAATTTTACTGTTTCAGACAATCTTGTACTGGTTCTTCAAATGAAGATTTGATGCATCAACCCACAAACTATGGTGCTCTATTCCAGCAATTTTTACACAGTTTTCACAAAAAATTGAAGCAAAAGAAAACCTGATCAGACCTGTAGCCAGCAAATTTTAAGGGATGGTTCTTTTTATCTGATAAAGGCCACCTTTCCACCACTTTACTTGAACTAATGTGAGAAATGGCAGAGAACCTAGATCGAATGGTGACTTTTTTTGGTAGAAAGGGTAGCTACATGTTTTTTCTAACTTGCCCAACTACAGGTCCTCCGGGGCAGCATTGCAATAAACTGTCAGTTTTTAAGGCAGCAGCCATCTCACAGCAAAACTTACATTGGTATAAATACGTAAAAAGATGTCTTTGAGTTCTAAACGAAGGGAAGCTGGAATTCTGCCTATCATTATGTATATCAAAATTTCTGTCTTCTGAAGCAAAACTAGTTGCTTGTTAGAGTTTAGTACATTTTGTAGGAAATGGATAAATAACTGTAAATTGTACTGTCAAAGTTGCACAATCCACAAAGATATTTAAAAAATAAAAACGACAAAGGGCATGGTTATGATTTTAAAGCCAAGGATAAGTGTTAGGACAATAATAATAATAATAAGATTCTTATATGGCGCCTTACAATAATGGCTAATATACTAAAATCATTAAAATGACTACAATATTTTAATCATAAACTCTCATTGGAAACCATTTAAAATTTACACTACTAAAAATCAATCTTATTAAAATACATATATATATTTTTTAAAAAATCTATGAGATATAGACAGAATTAAAATGTGGGTCTTTAAAAGAGATTTAAAATGGTCAAAGTCTTCTGTTTTTCTAATAAAATTTGGTAGGGCATTCCACACTTTTGGGGTGTAAATTATAAAAGCACGATCTCCATAACTTTTGAGGCACCCCTTCTCTAAAACAGAATGTTCTAAAATAGGAGCACGACTTTTCTTTATAGGTACGTAAGGTTCTTGTGGCACAGGTTGCCTACTGAAAGATTTTTTTCTGCTGTGATCAAGTTACAAAGAGCAGCTGAACTTGTCTCTTGAGAACCTCTTCGATTTGGCTAAATGTACAAAATTGGGCACCCATTACTATTATTTATATCCACTATTTTATGCTACTGGTATGTAAGACTTGCCTTACAGATTAACATTCTTTCAGATACTCAAAAGGCACAGCAAACACTTCATGATTTAAATAAATTGAATTAGAAATTCTTCCAGAATTGAATAAGTTTCTTTTGTGTAAAAATGTAGCACTGATAATCAAGTATTAAATTTCTAAGAACATAAGAGACTAAAATCTGGCAACCTCTTTAGAGGACAAAAGAAATTTTTCATTATTTTGTCAGGACTTAATGAATGCTTGATAGGAAATGCATGGTGCACTGGACTGGTTCCTAATTAGTACCACCAGTGTGTACGCTGGCGGTACTCATGGTTTTAGTGCCGGCCCGTCTCATACAGCTCCGCCAAACAAGTCACCCTTACCCTTTCTCCTCCTAGACGGTAAGGACCTGTGTCCCCATCTCTGGGATTTAGGTAACATAACAACTTGAACCCTGTTTTTTTTTGTTTTTTTTTGTCTCAGTCGGTGCTTTGGCCTGGGCATGACACTCGTTGAAATACACCCTTGTCAAAAATTTTGAAAATTCAATGCTAAATATCTCCCAAAGCGAAGGAATTATGGGAAAATTACTACAGACGGTTGACCGACATGTGAAGATTCCAATTATGCCCTTGGATTTGACCTTTATTTCACGGTCAAACGGGCCAAAATTTTCTAAAAATTGGAATTTTCTGCCAAAAAATATTTGTTTGGGCCAATTTTCAGAAACTACACGACCTTTAAGCTCTCATATTAAATGTAGTGAGGGGTTACAATTAGGTAGTCCTTTCATATTTGTGAGTTAAAGGTCAATCAGTGCATTTTCAAGAGAGAAGCAGCCATTAGATGCCAAAACTGAAATCTCTCTTTAATTATGGAACCGTAAATGATAGAGACCTCTAATTTGTTATACTTTGTAGAGCATGTCAAGCGCAACACTGGAAGTGTTGGCAATATGTACAGACACATCTGTGTCTGTACATAAAAACTGATGGTCTTTCTGCTGTTAAGCATTATGTAATGTTGCATCAAAATAGGAGAAAACACAATTTTTGGTGCTGCTGCCATGATGACCATCATGGGAAAACCATGTTACTTATGATTGTCAAACTTTCAAAAAACACAGGACTAAAATGCAGCTCAAGTTGGAAAAGCAGTCTAATTGGCTTTTTTTCTGGAAGTTATACATTTTAGTGAAATATTTACTTTTATCATGTTGGCATATTCATTGTGGGACTCGAAGCTCCCATGGACATGAAGCCAAATGGTAATCAAATTTTCAACAAGCTTCACGCCCAGGCGAATGCACCGACTGAGACAAAAAACCAGGGGTTCAAGTTGAGATTATATGTGATCTATATCCAAGAGATGGGGACACAGTACTTGCGGTCTAGGAGGAGAAGCGGAAATGGTGCCTTGTCTCCAGCAACAGAATGCGGAGCCAGCAGAGCCGCTGGAGATATCGGAGCTGCATGAGACTGGTCAGGACTAAAACCACGAGTACAGCCAGCACACACGCTGGTGGTACTAAGGTTTTTTTCACAAGTAAAACACTTATGGAAGCATCAAAATGGATTTTATCCATACCAGTACTTGTGGCCACCACTTTCAAATTTAGTTTCCCCTTCAGCTTGTCCATTTATCTTTCCTTATTAATTTGAACTACCATTCAACATTCACAAAATACTTCATATGTATGAAATTTGTTTACTGTGAAATGTTTTTTCCATCGGACAAAAACATCCAAAAATTTTATTATGCATAAATTCTCTTTATTGTCAAGTACAACACTAATGAAAAAATTAGAAGTAAACAAACATTATAAACAAAAGACATTTTTTCATTTTTATTTGATCTAGGCATTAAAATACTGAGGATCCTCAATAATAGCTAAGGACCAAACAAGAATTGTGACAGAAAGGTAGTCCTTTGTACATTTGTTTTTTAATTTTTTTAATTTTTTATAATCGGTATCGAAGATCCCAATGTCACCTCGTGAAGTTTGTGAAGGAAGGAAATTACAGTTTGTGTTAAAAACATTTCTCTCAGCCTATTTCATTTGAATATTCATAAGCCATGATTGAATGGTTGAAAAGATGTCATGCTACCGAGTGTCCACACCTCTATCAATTTTCTTCTTCCTCCTCCTCAGAAAACTCTTCCGATCTTGTTGCTTGATCCCTTAAACCTGTCCACATAGGAACCATCCTATCTGAAATTGGAAGGCATTTTAAAAAATAATGATTCAAAAGACCTGTCACTGAAAATCAATTCCTCTTTAAGGTCTACATCTTCAGAAAAAATAAAGCTGAAGTACATTGACAAAAATCAACATACATTTATAGAAAATAAAGTTAACCCCTTAGGGACCATATACATTTGTAGTGTTGACCTAGAAACCTCCCCTGAGCCCAATTATGTGCACAGGCAACTTGAAAAGCAGGGATAACCTAAAAGGCCATTCAGAATGAGAAGAGCTGAGTGCTAGCTAGGCCATGACCTAAATATGGCAAACCTACATTAAAGGAAGACCGTTTAATCCGGTAATGGTCTCTCCGCCTCTCAAATGCCTCCCCACGCGTCATCCCTGCAGGGGCACAGTAATTAAATCTAGGCTCAATTCAACCAGTCGAGGGACGACGCGTGAAAATTTTATTTCTTATTTAAAAGCTGAAGAGAATAATAATAAAACAAGGCAGCAAAGCTGTCAAATGTACAGACAAAAAGCAGAAAATAACAATGCACAAAATAGGCTACTGTCAATTCTGATGCAAAAGTACATTATGCTTAACTGCAAATTCAACATCAAATTTTAATTATGCTCAACAGGTAATACCAATGTGAGTAAAATGTGTAACAAGCATAAGGCTTCAGGCCCATGGGAGTTCAAGTTCACACTTTGAAAATGCCAGAATGAGAAAAATGAAAATTTCACACAAAACTACATAAATTCAATAATAAATGATAACCCAATTGAGCTGGCTTTCTAATTTGAACTGCATGGCAATCCTAAAAATCATACTTGTAAGTTGAAAATAATAATAAGTAACACAGTTTTCTTTTCATAATGTTTGTGTTAGCCGTGCAAAAAGATTTTTGTCAATTTTGATGTAACATTACATAATAAATTACAGAATAATTATCACCAATTTTTGATTATTGACTATAAATAGCATGGACATGTAGAAAATTTGATTACCACTCGGGTTCATGTCCATGGGAGCTCTGAGTCCCAAATTGATATCAATGAAAAAACACTTACTGTAAAAAAAAAAAAAAAAAAAAAAAAAAAGAGTCATCCACCCTCCAGGGACAGCCCAACCCTAATGCTTCCATAAATTATGACTGGCCCATCCATATCCCTGATGATAGGGCTATCAATATCAAAATTTTTAACTTCCTTGCTATAATGGTCTAGAGGAGGAGATAGTGAAATTTGTGGAATGGACTTGTACAATGTGCAAAGGCATTAGAGCAAAAATCATCTGCCCCAGGACGGCCCAACCCCAAGGGACAACACTTAATTTTGTGAAATGCCCATGTACATGTGTTGTGTTGATGTCTGCCAATACCTTAAATTTGAAGTTCCTCATCTTAACAATCTAGAATGATTGAGCAGAAATTACACTGTGGAAAAAATTATCATCAACCCCCCCCCCCCCAGTTGGACTTTTATGCTTAGGTGTCCATGCACATCCCTGATCATGGGTACATCAATTTGAACTGCCTAACTGATAGGCGTAAGGAGAAATTAATATGTGAAAAGAATCAAGTATTAACCATCCCCCATGAACAACCCAACCCCTAGGCACACTAAAATTTTGAAGTGCCCATGATGACAGATCCAAGTTTTAACTTCTTATCTCTACTGGTCTGAGGGGGGGGGGGGTAGCAGAAATTACAATGTAAGAAGAATGAAGAATCAACCTCCTGTTGCACTACAATTTTAAAGTACTTATACCCTGGTGATAGGTCTATCAATCCAGACTTCACTAAAGGCAAAAAAAATCTGTCAGGCATTCAGTCTGACAAACTTGAAAATTTTGTCAGACCAAAAGAAAATTTGTCAGACGGAAGTAAAATTATAAAAATATGTCACATTATTTGTTTTCAGGTGTATTTTTTATCATTTTCAAGCATCAACAATAAATCTAATATAAAATGTTTTCTATATTATTTATATATTTCATACACTTTGTAAAAAAATTTAATTGAAAGAAAAAACATTAGAAAAAGAATTGTTTGCATAATAAGTTTTTTAATACTTAATAAAAAGGGCATTGTAGAATGACACAAGGACTAAAAACAATACAAGTATGAAGAACGTGTAACCAGTATTATCAAATGTATGTCCAAAAAAACTTTGGTTAATCAGCAAACTATGTCACCTGTTGCTTTTGGCAATAACATGTGCATTGCAAAACAGCAAAGTAAGGCAGTCTCTTTCATCCAATTGAAGCTTTGACAGAGACTGTCCAGTCCAAGACTGAATTCTATCCTCATATTATTTCATTTTGATAAAAAAGAAACTCAAGCTGTGAGCCTTCATCAAATTCATGTGCACTTTTGCCAACTTGAGGTCGTGAACAGTACGTGTAGAAACAGATGTTCAAAAATTTTCAGAACTCGTAACAAAGCAAAATGATTTATGTTGCTGTTGATCATAACGATAACTTTAGTACTCCTGACATTCATTGCATAACTTTTTCCTCTCTCCTGGATTTAGCTAGCCAAAGCCTACCTTCTATCTAATTTTACTTTACTTTCAGTCAATCTGTTTCTCTTCCTCACTTCATTTTCATTTTTGCCACGCTCTGCACCGACCAAATATTTCAAGTTCAACAATGTCATTTTTTCTAAACAGAAGGCTCAGCCATGAGTTCTACGCACTGATAATGAAGAAACAGAGCACAGGGAGGGAAATAGGCGGTCGCCAGTCGCCAAATGCAACCGCTAAAACGAATTGGCGAGTGCCAATCTCAGTAACTGGTCCAAACGGGCAACTGCTCTACAAGCAGCGGCAACATGAGGAATATACGGGGTTTTTACTTGTACTTAGATATTTTTCCTTTTTTTTTTAAATCCGCTCCCAATTTTGTCTGCCAATCTTACAATTTTATAGCGATGTGGAGGTTTTTGCCTGGTGTGGCAAAGCCGCCAGAGCCTGTAAAACGAAAAACACTGAAAGCGAACAACCTAGCACTAAATGTAAAAAAAAAAAAAAAAGAGAGCGCAGGTACCTTCCTTTAAAACAGCTACGGATTTTTGAGGAAAATAAAAAGGCGAGGATTTTTTGCTCCGTTTTATGGTTATATTTCAACTTTTGGGACTTTGAAGTTACTTCCTATTTCGTGTTAATACAATGGGTGTTAACCCATTGTTCTAATTCCAAACCTTGTTTGGGTAAACACAGAGATTAATAACTCCTTTATATTTTTTAACCTAATAGTTAAAATACTTGATTCCTGTTGTGTAATGTGGCGAGAAAAAGCTGTTTAGTTTTTAAAATGTGAATAAATGTTGAATTTTTGGGAGTTATTTGGTTGATTTCAATTCTTTTAAATAAGTTCAAAATAAAAACATGAAAATTAAACTTCATTTGCTTTATTTTATTGGCACATTTTAATAATAATTTTAAAAAACTAAGTTGCTCAGTATGTTAAAACCGTCCACACATTTTCGATTCTTTCATAATTGGACCAGTGCCCCAAGGCCTAGGACCACTACCTCCAGAGTCAACTGGTCCAAGTGGACCAGTGCTGAAAAATTCCCATTTCCCTCCCTGAGAGCATCAAGTCGGTAAAAACGCAAAAAGCATGAGCACATGTGTTGAGGCTATTTTGTCATGTAAGGGTATCACAAGAATGAAAACGAGACTATCAATTACGTCATGCAGGGATCCCCCAACCTCATCCAGTCACAAAATAGTATTTGTGATTGAAACTGAGGTCAATAAATTATGTTAATTAGCTGGGTACCCATTTGACCTTGAAATATAGGTCAAAAGTCAAATTCAAGGTCAGATTCAAAATCCAAATTATCAGCCTTGAAAGTCTACAGGTATCAAACTGAAAGGGGGGAGGGGGGCAACAAATATCAGGGCGTAGAACTTATATAATGACTATGTGATAACATCTCAAACAATTATGGTAAAGTGTTGCATTGCAGTGGTGAACTAGCCAATCATATTTATTGGACTTGTAGCACTGGGTCATTTGCATAACTGGTACTATAATAAAGAGCTGCACAGGTAGTGCAGTAGTCAGTTACAGTTCGCTTGTGTTAGAGTTGCTTACTTCAGGTGTCCAGGTAGACGTCAGCAGATCTTATTACTCTCAGGCCTACCCAACTACCAGACTCGGCACCGAATGATCCTGAATTCACTGGTAAATCGGACCAAATTACCAGTTTTCAAGGTGTGTATCAGTATGCATTTCACAGTATCAGACGCAACACCGCTCTTTCCTAGTACGCGATGTGATAGTGACGATTCTCAGCGGAGTTGAAAAGCATTGCACCACCACTCAAAATTTGTTCAGGGTATGATACTGTGTAATGCGATCTGACACACACCTTGAAAACGGGTAGTGTGGTCTGATCTACCGGTGAATTCAGGATCATTCGGTGCCGAGTCTGGTAGTTGGGTAGGCCTGACTTTGAAAAATACAAAAATATTCAGTGTGCTTGCTACAAGGGTATACTTTCAGCAAGTACACCGATTTTTTTTCCTCTTACCAACATATATATAAGCGGTCTCCACCATGGCATTTGAATCTCTGTGTTCAATTTCTCTGTAATTCAGCTTTCCTTCAACATATATCTTAGTTCTAGAAGAAAACAAGGCAGCAAAGCTGTCAAATGTACAGACAAAAACCAGAAAATAAAAATGCAGAAAATAGGATACTGTCAATTCTGATGCACTGATGTATTATGCTTACTGTAACTGCATAGCCAACATCAAATTCTAATTCTGCATAACAGTGGATTAGGATGAATGTAAAATGTGTAACAAGCATTAGACTGAGTTCCCATACCTAGATCAATTTAACAGGATCAATCCAACTCCAAGGGATATCTCACTAAATTGCTTTCAGCTTAAGCGGCTTAGGATTCTGGCATGCCAGTTTCAGTTGNAAAAAAAAAAAAAAAAAGAGTCATCCACCCTCCAGGGACAGCCCAACCCTAATGCTTCCATAAATTATGACTGGCCCA